CAAAACCACACGAATGCACAAAATCACTTAACTTACCTATCCCGAAGCGGCCAAGTTGATGTTTTGCCAGTGGAGCTGAAAAACCAAATGTGGGGATTCAATCGAAAGGGGAACTTGATAAATCACTTGCTCCTTCCCTCACTAACTCATTCACCCTTTCTCCCTCTCCCCCTTCCTCTCTCTCTTTCTCTCATTCTCTTTCGCTCTCTCACTGTGTGTAAATATTTTAATGTTATCTGTTTTATATATGCCTTCGCTTCATCTCTGTGTACCTCTGTAGTTCTGTTTATTATTCTCTATCTCTGTCTGCACATGTATCTGGGCATCGAAATACCCCCTCTATCTCTCCTCTCTCTCTCTCTCTCTCTCTCTCTCTATATATATATATATATATATATATATATATATATATATATATATATATCGTCTTTTTATCGATATCTCATTGCTTTTTTTTTAAATCTTCGTTTAATTGCATCCTTATGTCTATCAATCTATAATTTTTCATAGACCTTTATATGTCAGCATCTATTTCTCTCTCTCTCTCTCTCTCTCTCTCTCTCTCTCTCTCAATTGTTTACATAGCTGCTGTCTTTGGGTCTGTCGGTATAAACCTAGAGAGAGAGAGAGAGAGAGAGACGGGGGAGAGAAGTGGGAGAGAGTTTGTGTGTGTGTCAGACAAACAGTTAAATAGACAGAGACAGACAGACAGACAGACAGGTAACAGCAGAACAAAGACAAAAACACACACTTGATCTGCTACTACCCGCAACAAATGGCATTTACGAAAACAATTCGTCAACAACCACTTCCTGTGTTTCTGAGATACACCCGTTCAAAATAAAGCCAACAACAGTATAAATGAATATTCATTGTCTTCAAATAATCTTTTCTGAGCATCAACTCTAAGAATACACCACAATTTGCATTCACAACATTGAAATATAAAAAAGAGTTCAAGGTTATAATGCTGTAACCTTTCGCATTATTTCTAAATGTTATAAATGTGACGACCCAGTAGCCAAACAACCGTAAATAAACGAATCTAGCGCAGAAATATACATCAACATTAAATACGAGAGGTCGTGTGTTGTACGAAAATTAACGTAATCCTTTTGTCCTATTACAGAAACGATCATTTTCAAAACATGAGCTATTTTTGTTACATCCTCATCTTACTAGAGGCTTTAAAAGAGAGCTTGCGAATAAAGTGATTGACTGAAAACGTATGCTATTTGATGGTTCTCACGTTATTTTGTAGGCGCTAGTAAGTGTCATGTTTCTATTGCTGACAATACCTGCCCTTAGGGGCTACTGACAATAAATTTCGTATGGGCTACTGAAAATTGATGATTTAAAATTGGCAATGGTAATAATATTCTTATTCGTCTTCTGCAGTATCAATCAAAAAGAAGTGTAGGAGAAATGGAAAAAATTATGATATTAATAGGACGATGAAGATGTGTAAGAGGAGCTAGGAGACAGAAGAGGAGGGGAGGAGGAGAAGAAGAAGAAGAAAAAGAAGAAGAAGAAGAAGAAGAAGAAGAAGAAAAAGAGGAAGAAGAAGAAGTGTCTCAATGTCGGTGAACCTCCAGTTCCAATAACCTTACAGTATACTTGTAATAGTACTTCTAAACTTGTGCCAGATTTAACAAAATAGTGCAGATTCAACGCATCTGTTCGTCCTTACCCAAACAAACACTTCGTCCTTGGCGTGCTAATTTCTATAGTACATGCTTTATTTTAAAATAATAACTATAGATAAAAGGAGGGTATCTTGTCATTTTGGTATCGTTTGCGATCAAGATGGATGGCTGTGACCTCTTTCTAGAACATTAGTTAACTTTGCAGAAAGAAGAAAGGCGTAAGTCACCCTGACACATAATAAATATTGTTCAAATAATTTACTGGCGAACAGCTGAGGGGAGGCCGTTTGCGTGGCGAAGTAGTTACGGCGTTTACTTTGTGTCGAATGTTGTTAGTTTCCGAAATTCCAGTGAAATCGTTGCTAGAGATATGCAGTTTCATGTGCTGTGAATAAAAACATGGAGTGTTATCTCTTTTCATACATTACGTTTCTAAAGAAGGGGGTGTCATTTGACTCCCTTTGACTCCTTCTTCTTGGCGTTTACATGTTCAAATAAATGACAACTCAGCTGCAGGGGCACCAACACAAAGAAAACATCGGGGAGGGGGGGGGGGCTTAGACCCATAAAAATTGTCTGGGGGAGGAAGTTCAAGGGGCATAATATCTATGCTATAAAACTGAAAATCCTTGTGTTTGTCTGTCTATGTCAGACATCAGAATTCCTCCATAAACGGTAAACAGTAGCCGTGTCAGATATGCTTATGCCACGCATGCTGCAATTTCCAGGTTAATGGTGTATTCCAATTTCTAACAGTTTTGTTTGATTTGCTCCAAAATATCCCCAAATTCAATATCCATTGCCATTCACTTAATCTATTTCCCTCGAGTACCTAAATAAATACATATATTTTTTTTAATCTTTGAAGAATTAATTTGAAAGAAAACACAATATCTAGGTGTTAGCTCCCGTTAGATTGAAGTCCGGACAATATCTGTCGCTTTCTTTTAGCATTGAGAACCCTGTGATATAGTGGTTAGACCAGTGTTTTCCAAAGTGGGTGCTGCCACCCCTTTGGCAGTGCTGGGGCGGTGAAATGGCCCTGTGTTGATAAGAGCCCCAAGTGCTTTTAGGGGCAATGACTAAACATACGGCAGTGGTGGAGACAAAAATGACGTAGCGGATGAAAGAATACAGTTGTCTTTCACTAACCCCTACGAAGCTGTATTGTCGTAACAAAAGGCTGTCAGTCATCATTTTAGCTCGCTCTCTTCTATTTCAGAAATAAGAAAGGCGTATTTCACCCTGGTTAGTTGCGTATCCTTTACAGCACGTTGCAGAACCATCCCAACAGCGCCTGGCTGTTATGTAGTTTTTCTCGGCAAATTTACGTGTAGTAGTTTGCAATTTCTATCTGGACGGTTGGCTGTTTTGATACCACTGTCGAAACTACGCATGGCCCGCAGCTGGGATCGAACCCGGCACCCCGACATTACGAAGCGTTTGCATCGACTTAGCCACAGAGCCGACATTTCACCCTGACACATGTTAAATATTGTTCAAATAATTTATTGGCGATAACCTGAGGGGAGGCCGTTTCTGTGGCGAAGTAGTTACGGTGTTTACTTCGTGTGCCAAATGTCGTAAGTTTCAGAAATGTCAGCGTACGCATGCATTTTACCATCCAGGCTTTAGTTTTTGACTTGATAATTATAATATGCATACTATTACATGAATATAACATGCTTTATTGATAAAATACAACTGATGTGTGAAAGATGGAAGTTTGGAAATGCCGAATGTAAGACAGGCCTGCGTGCCTAATTTGTGACCCTTTCAAAATAAAGTTTCGTTTGTTCATTCGTTTGTTCCCCGTCACCCTAAACCCACTCCATAAACCTGTCGAGTTCAGCATGTTCTCTTTTTTGTCTACTCATAATCTGGCTAAAATGCATTACTGCCTCCCTCTAATGTTTGTGATAAATTGATCTCAGGTCTTAGCCAATGTCATCAGCTTCTTAAAGTGCATGCCGTATGGCGTTGATAGTCACGTCTATCCACAACATTCTGCCTCGTGTACTTTCAGTCAACGCTGACATAGATGATCCTTCATACCATGATGTCAGACAGTCCAGCATCTGTTCTCTCGGTCTCCCTCTGCCTCTGCTCCCCTCCAACTTTCCTACCGTCACAATGTTCTCCTGATTCCTCTTTTTCATCACATGACCAAAGAATTTAGATTGTCTCTTTCTGATGTGGACAATCAGTTTTCTTTGTGAGTTAGTTTCTTTCAAGACATCTTCATAATTCTTTTTATCTGTCCAGGGTATTCTCGTCATTCTTTTTTTTAAACCACTTCTCATCAGCTTTTGATTTATCATTTCGCATGTCAATGAATTTAAATCCTTTTTTTTTAAATATAAAAAAAACCTCTCTGATGCTTAATCAGTCTTCATTTGCTTGTTTAGTATTTGTTCCCGATTCACAGCAGTAGGTTAAAACTGGCTGTATATTGCATGGAGAAATTCTTTTTAATTTCAACCTAATGAAAGAGATTAGAAACGTCATGCGCCTCCGGAAGACTTGAGAGCAGAGCAGCAAGCAAATATTGATTCAGCCAAAGTGCACGGGGAAAGACAAATTTAAAACAGCAAACTGCTTTTCCTTTGTGACTGCATTGACATGCAGTCACAAAGGAAAAGAATGTTGCTGTTTTTAAATTTTCCTTTCCTCCAGGTGACTCAGAAGAATCCACGAGACAACATGGAGAGAGAACTGACCCCGCCAGCTAAACAGACTCACAGAAAACAATTAAATCGTTCTCCAGTGAATCCCGGCTCACTGTGGCATATAAGGAAGTAAGTTAGCAGACAGACTTGCAAAAAATGGAACAAAGGACAAACAACACACCCATTCTTTGTCATTACCAGAAATCAGAACACTTATCAAAGGAAAATACAAGAAATTGTGGAGAAAACAAGCTAACAGTAAACATCCAAAAGACCCCATCAGCAGACTCAACAGAAAGCAACATACAGCAAATTTTCGTCTACGAACAGGACACTGCAGGCTCAACATGCATAAATTAAAGATTGTACAGTCCTCACAGTGCGCCTGTCAAACAGGACCACAAACACCTGAGCACATTCTGCAGACCTGCCTACTCTACCTATAACTTCGAAAAGACACCTGGCCTCAAGAGCAAAGTGTGCAGAGCAAGCTATGGGGAACCATGAAGGACCTGCTACTGGTATGCGAGTTCATAGAGGCAACCCATCTGATGGTCTGATCTGAGCATACGAAGAGATTCATCGCATAAGATGTTCTTCATTTTATTAAACGCAGTCTTTGCTTGTTCTATTTTTGTTCTTTATCTATGTGTGTTTGCATAATGAGTTGATATGTTGATCACAGATTTGCGAGAATATTCAGAGATACAGCTGGTCACGAGTGTGGGTACAGGAACAGGATGTGCCCTACGCCACCTGGAGCAACCAATGGGTTGGTTATGATGACGTCACAAGTCTGAAAATCAAGGTAGTATGTTGAATTTGTATTCTTTGCGTTGACAATCTGTGGCATTTAGTTTATGTTCCGTGTAAGTGCCATATCGTGGTCACATAAACTCATTATGTTCAGTTAATTATTTTAGGGGTATAATTTGTTAGGCTTTAGTCTATACTAGGCCGCTGGCTAATAAAAGGAGTTGTTCAGTTCTCTTACCCGTCGTCTTTTTTCTAAGGGATAATCCCTAATAAGTTCAAAAAATGTCAAATGACAGGTTCTAAGATTCATGCATATCACAGGTACGGTTACATATCTGTCTCAATGTGGGTGGGTTTGTATCTTGTCAGTTGCTGAGTCTGTGTGTGTGTCAGTATGTATCTCTGACTGTATGTGTGCGACTTATGTATATAGCTAGCATCATCATCATGTTGCAGGTCCTTTGCAGAACGTCACTCTCATCATAGTCTGTCTGAAAGAAACGCGGTCTCTTGCCTGCTCATCCATCTCGTGTACTTTCATATTCAATGAGTCACTTATATCCTGTGCCCATCTTTGTTTTTGTCGGCCCCTGCTCCTCCTTCCTGGTACCATGCTTTCTGCTACTATTTTTTCTCGTCGCCATGGTGTATTATATGACCAAAATATTTCAGCTTCCTAGACAAGATGGTGGTTTTTTTTAACCACTGTTCTTTGGTATTCAGATCTTTTAAAATTTCAGTATTTCTTCTATTATTTGTATATCAGTATACATAGTTGTGTTACCCCTGATCTACTCAGTGGTATGCAGTATGAAAATACAAGGAATTCCAGTGAAATGTGACCAAAAAGCTTTACGAAATATGGAATGCTTCCCCATTTCGTTAGGCTTTTCAGTCACATTTCCTGGAATAACTTTTAAAGACATTGAGTGCCCATGTCATTTTTTTTAAATAGAAAGAAAAATCCCTGTATATTTGTGTATCTGTGTGTATATGTGTCATTGTATATGTGTCTGATGTGTATATATGTGTGTTTGAGTATATTTATGTCTGTGGGTTAGTGTCTGTGTGTGAGTCTGTCAGTGTATCTAAGACTGTCTCTGTGTTTATGTATATGCGTGTATGCATGTTTGTGTATGTAATTCCTAATTCACGCAGTGTTTTTTTTTATTATAAAGGACACTGTTTTTCGGTTGTCACAAGGGCAAACATAACTTTTTTTACGCATTTATTTTAAAAGAGAGAGAGAGAGAGAGAGAGAGAGAGAGAGAGAGAGAGAGAGAGAGAGAGAGAGAGAGAGAGAGAGACCAGACATTAATCTTCCGGACAGCTGTGAAACTTGCCTCTGCCCAGATGTCAGAGAAGGTGTTGTGTTTTGAAAGCAGAATGAAGTACTGCGTAAATGTGGGAACTTCATACTTTTCTAACATATATTTTCAGCTTTGGAAATGTGCATTTTTAATAGCGTTTTTTCTCGTTTTTTATCTACAGATCCGATTTTGTTTTGCCTCTCCTCCCGCCCCATTTTTTTTATTCCTTACCCTTTTCTGCTATCATTTTCTCCTCATGTAGTTTCTGTCGCTGCTGCTGCTACTACTACTACTACTTCTACTACTACTACTACTACTACTACTACTACTACTACTACTACTACTACTACTACCACCACCGCGGCTAATGATTCTTTTTTGCTGTTGGTGATGGTGATGGTGGTGGTGGTGCTGCTGCTACTACAACTACAACTAAAACTACTACCTCACCTCTTTCTCTTTTTCTCCCGCCCCCCCCCCCCCCCCCTCAACTGGAACATCCTTTCAACTTACACCAAGCTGCCTTAACTATTGACATCACCTTCAGCTCTGTCCATTTTATTTCGATTGATAAATCTCATCTTTCATCATCAAATAATTCTTAGATTTTTGTTTGTTTTGTCGTTCTGGTCCCAAAGAAAAGCGATTTCTAGTTAACTAGTAGTTTTACTGTTTTGAAATTTTTTCGCATTTCATTATATCCATCGCTAAGGTCATTTCATCACCTGCCGATTCACTGAAATTCGTTTAGTTCTCTTTAGTCTTTACAATAAAATGTACCGACACTCACCACAATGTGTCTATAACAGTAGCGCTGAAAAAAAAAATCATCATTAATCCACACTTCTACTGTTTAGTGCCATGGGAAGCAACAGTTTGCGATCCATTGCTTGATGGGCAGCACCATTTTGTCATTCTATGTCGATGTAGTAGCTCTTCAATGTCATCAGTCCATACGAGCTTTTCTTTATTGATTCTTTCTTCTATGCAGTCACCAGTTCTTTTTTTTTTTACCTTCTATCCCCCAGTGAAGCACAGGCCCTCAAAGAACTCACGCCAGCTCGTTATTTTCTTCGCTCTTGCACGGCGATCACTTCATGCCCACCCCATTTAGCTCCCTTCTTCGTGTGTTTCAATTTGCCAGTTCTGGAGATTTTTCTAGGCGAATGGTGATACACGGACACCTTTGGGCTCCCCCCCCCCCTCCCCCCTTCTCATCTCAAATCGGGGTGCTGGAATCCACATGGGTAATGACAACGACAGCATCATATATGCTCTTCTTTCACAAGGACTAAATACGTTTATTGTAGAAAACACATGGTGCTCTTCTGTGTCTTGACTAAACGTACAATGTGCTAAGATAACACGTTGATTCCTTCAGGCAGACCTTCTAATCAACGGTATGGGTCTCGGTGGAGCTTTCGTGTGGTCATTGGAGCTGGACGATTTCAACGGCTATTGTGGAACCGGTAACTACCCCTTACTGCGAACTATCAACGATGTCATTCGTCCAAGAAGTGGTCTGCAGCCGCGGAGAATACCCAGAGGTAGAATTGTGTAATGTATTCGTTTCGTCAGGCTCTGACTCTGGAGATCGTTAATAAGGTGGTGAAAATTCGTCTGCAGTTCTAACAATATATGAGTTTAGATGTGCGTATGTATGTGAATGTGCGGGTATATGTGTGTGTGGGCGCGCACGGGTTTATGTGGATGTGTGCTATCCTAACCTGCACATTTTGTGGCCACTGAGTTAACCATGCAGTCCTAAATTCTCAGACTCAGAGCCGCTTATTTTAACTGCTCTAAAAAGTGGAAACAGTTCAAGCAAAGGCAGCATTTTACAAAATGAGGAATATTGTCTGTAGTCTTTCTTTGTCAGTTGAGACGTTAAAGAGAATTTTTAAAAGCCATATAAATCCTATATTGATGTAAGACAGTGAGTCATGGACAGTTGGTAGATTAGTGAAAACCTTTTGGAAGCTGTGGAGATGTTGTTATATAGACAAATGATGAGAATACCCTGGACAGATAAAAAGAGAAATGAAGATGTCTTGAAAGACACTGACTCACAAAGAGAACCGATTGTCCACATCAGAAAAAGACAATCTACATTCTTTGGCCATGTGACGAGAATGAGAAAACTGGAGTACATCGTGACAGTAGGCAGGTTGGAGGGAAGAAAGACATGGGGAGACAGAGAAAACAGATGCTGGACATTCTGACATCATGGCATGGAGGATCATCTGTATCAGAGTCGATTGAAAGTACACGAGACAAGAAGTTGTGGATAGACATAACGACCATCGCTATACGGCATTTACTTTGAGAAGAAGGACAAGTGGGAAAATAAAGACAGCAATGACAGTCCTGTTGATACTTCTCTGAAGTTGACATCCATAGACACTCATCTAGGCACTATTGAATCTCTCGGGTTTTACCACAGCGTCAAAGTACAAGTGTATTTGTCCTCTATCGCAGGATGATTAACCAGGTAGGCTAATACTGTGTACAACACACTTAGTTCAATCAGATGACGTCTACACAGTGAAGGTTGGTTGCAATGGATCTCCAACAGGCTCTGTCTCGAGTCTTAGTTGTTTTGTACACTATCTCAGACTGCTGCTTGTCCTTCTCTTGGTGTTATCCTCCCATTTGTATCGTCCCCTACCTCTTGCTATTTGCCCTCAACCTTTTCCTTCAGTATAATATAGTTATTAAAAGAGTTATATGTCTTTTAATGTAGCCAAAATATTGCAATTGTATTAATTTTTTTTGCTTGTTGTAGTCCGATCGATCTATCGGTGTGTCCCCACCTGGATGCTACCTAAAGATTTACCATGCCATCATTAGATTTACAAATCTCAGTCTGGACGGCAGACCAAGAAGGCAAATAACAGATACCCCGTTCAATTTCCAAAAAAAGTTCAAATTAAGGCAGCTGTAACGGCTACACCAGCCAGGTGTAAGCTTAGACTCCCCGTGTTCAATGGAGAATTAGGCATGGCAAACTGTAAAGATTCGAAGATATTTTTGCTTCCGACAGCGCTTTGCTCGTGCAGTTTTCACATCTGGACGGTAGTCTACGGTTTCGCTGCCCGAGCTACTGAGTTCAGTGCTTGGTTAAGCCTTGTGAGATGTGTTTTCATGTGTGCAGAAGTGGTGACGTGGTTTCAATATGGCCTGTAGCCGGTTTACATGTGAGCTTGTGAATACATCATGTAATAATTCTACGCGTATATAGCCAACTTATCGTGCCCGACAAACTGCATTTCTGGTGGTAACTGTTGGCTTTGGCACCTCTTGTCTATTCATCAGTTTTTCAAATGAGACAGTGAGGGACATTTCATTTGATTTGCACTGGTACAGGAACGGAACAAGTGTCATGATACCCGATTGCAGTGAAGTTAAAACCTCGACTGAGACTAAGAATAACCTGCAGTACTATGCATGTAAGGACAACGGTAGACTGTCTGTCTAAAGCTGGATTAACTGGAGGAACCAATTCACTTGTTTTATAACTAAATCTAGCATGGATATAACAATGGCATCTCTGATGCAGCGGCTAGACGCTCGCCTGTGCATCCGAAGGTAAGGGATTCGGGTCCTGAGGCAGCCGGAACTTTTTTTCAAAAATGAAAGTCGCTCCCAGGCCGAGCCAGCCTTAAATGGGTACCAGGTTAAGTCCTAGGAAGTAAAGGCAGTCGGCGTGATGCTGTCTACATCATCCATCAAGTCCCGATTAGTCTATAAAAAAATATATGTCGTCTTTTATGCCAAATAATAAGCCTGAAGTCGAGGAAAAAAAATATCAAATGACTAAAATGTTTTATCCCCCCTTCCAGATGAAATTCCACTGCCTAGACCACAGTTCCAATCAAGGACATGCCAGGAGCTTGGCGCAGGAACTCATGCTGATCCCAGGAACTGCCGCTGGTGGATTGACTGTGTTCGAACCTATGATGGGTTCATACAGTACACGCGTCGATGTTCATCCGGCCTGGCCTACGATGATAATATAAAAACATGTGCCTTAAGTTCATTCTGTGCTTAGCGCTAAGAATAATCGTGTTGCCGCTAGGGATGTTCCAATTATATTTTCTATTGAGGTTAAACGAGACATATTTGACTTGCAAGAAATGCTGAATATAACATAAAAATTGACTAGAAAGCTCAACGGAAGGAATGGAAAAGATGCAGACGAACACAACCGAACGTTTCGACCAAAGTCTTTGTCAACGTAATACTAAATACAGCAAAAACTATGACTGGAAAAACTCAACGGACGAGACAAAGGAGCTAATAAAAAAAAAAAAAACCAAGGTCAACATAAAACTACGTCTTGGTTTCGTGTTGACCTTGGTTTTTAATTATCTCCTTTATCTTGTTTGTGTTTCTTTTTTTTTTATTGTATATTAAAATAAAGCGTAAATTTCTATTTTTATTACAGGAGTGGTAACCCTGCTAAAACTATCTTTTAAGTTCATTTGTATATATATATATAAAATCTCTATGGTACATATCACGAAAATCTCCCTATCTCACCGGGGGCGAGATTTCGTGTCGGCTCCCATTCATGTCGTGGCCGTTCTCATTGGCTGTATTATGCTGTAGGGGTGTTAGGATATTCGTTCATTCTCCTTCAACGTCTATTCACATCGTGCGGAAAAGCGGCTCCCGTTCGTTAGAGGCCCGATGTGAAAATGTGCTGCTTTCTTTTGTGGCGACATTGAGCGACTGTGTATGCGCCAGGCGAACGAGTGTTTAACTAGTTGTCGGGCCTGAAAAGGGCTGACATTGAAAAGATATTCAGGGCGAAGGTCAAGTCGCAGTAAGGTTGCAGTGACAGCGAATGAGCCCACAACATGAAGAACAGATATCGCAGCCTAGCTGTAAACCACAAAACAACATACCAACCACCAACGGGCGCACACACATGAAGAAGAAGTTCATTTTTAGGAACCTTTGTATTTGCATCCATGAAATATGCCTGTTATTCTGAATATCCACATGTTAATTTCATGCCTAACACAGATATTCATTCCACCTGTTTTTTTTTAAACAGAATTCACAATATTGTAAGTAAAACATTATACATATCTATATGCCCGGCTCTCTAGCGTAGTTGGCTAAACCGGATTGCGCGGAGACCGGGTGACGAACTCCTTGTGGTCCGGGTTCAATCCCGGGGGTAGGCAGGAAAGCCACATTTGCTCCCAGATTTACGGTATATACTATGGAATCAAGGCCGAAAGATTGCGATATCCATAATACCGAGCCTAAGGGTAAACAACTCATGGCTTCTGGATACTAAAACAAACATACATATCTATATCGACCAATACATTAGGTGCCATCTTACCAAAAAAAGTTTTGCTGTAGTGTATCTTCCAAGTGCTCTGTCTATTGCTCTGGTTGTACATTTTCTGAAACTGCTAATCGTCCCATCTTACCACTTGTATCACCATCTACCTCTTGCTTTCCTGCATTTTTGTTTTTCCATCATCATCATCACTGCTGTCAGTTTCAGAACCATTTATATTCTGCTTCTCAATGAATTTGGTGCAAGAAGATGTTTACAGTCTGTCTAATGGTATGATTTCTCACTCTGTCTCGGGTGGTTAAGTAGGCGGCTTTCCACAGGCATGTAACTTCATATTGTTAATTTTACTAGGTCAGTCTTCTATAACATATCTTTCCATCAGAAAAAAACATAAGAAAGAGAAAAACATTGATCTTTGGTCATGTGATAAAAGCATTGTGATAACTGGAACGATCAGTGGTAGATGAGGTAAAGGAAGAAAAGAGAAATACAGCATGATCCAATGTTGATCCAGATTACTTTTTTTCCTGTGTTCTCCCTTACAAGGGCAGTTAGTACATGAGACTGTGTTTACAGCTGGGTTGCCTTTTAGCCCAACACATCTGATCTCAGGGAAACACTATTTAGCAGCCTTTTATTACATACTTATGAAATCTGTCAGTCCTAGATGATTTTACAGCAGATGTGTTAACAGAATAACAGCCATAATAAAAATTTTAAAAAAAGTATTGCATGCATTACTTAGTAGAAACAGCAAATTTACACCTTGTTTTGTTGTTTAACTACATAGTTCTCATACAACTCAAAATAAAATGACCAGTTCCTAAAGTATGTATGCGATTACATCAAGCGTTGGTTTCTTTTACGCGTTCACCAGCTGTAAACTCTGACGGAAAGTTCTAGTTCTTCATCCGCCTCTAGACTTTAGTCTTGTTCCAGAATCGGAGTGTTGCGAGCACATCTGTTTTACATATCTGACTTATCTGTATGCAGACTGTTGGTTCCTTGCTTCTCGGGCAGATGCCCTCAGACTTCGAAGGAAAAGCGTTGCTTTGTCAATATGGGCTCAAGCAGATTAAACGTGGTGTGTTCTTTGGGGCTGAAAAGTTTAGTAGCATGGATCTATTTTATTCTGACCCGAAAAAACAAGTCCAGAGATCTGTGGAGAACGTGAATAAATAGGTTATTCTGTGAGAACAGGATTTATTCTTACACAAATCCCCACCTCAATGAGGATTTTAATACATGACCCCTTGGCGCTATCTGGGCTTGCCTCATACATACAATGCTTTGACAAGACAATGACAAACCACTTACATGTAAACCATATATGTGTAAACACCACATGCAATGGCACTGACAAATCAACACACTCAAACATTGATAAACCACATGTGTAGAAACTGATGACCACACATGAAGAGACATTGACAAATATCACAGGTGAGCAGACACTGACAAAGCATTCAAGTTGACATCAACAAACCACACATGTACAGACGCTGCATCAACCATATGTGCACATGTGTAGACATTGATATACCACACATGACGAGACATAGACAAATATCACATGTGAACAGACATAAAATCACATATAAACAGACAGTGACAAAGTACCTGTGTACATATGTAGACATTGATAAATCACACACATTGTACACCTTATGTTGTTGCACTGATAAACCACACACATGTACAGATGTTGACAAGCCTAACACATATTGAGAAGCCGCATACATATGCAGATATCGACAAGCCATACAAACATGTACTGACACTGAGAAGCCACACACACATGTGCAGACATTAACAAGCCACACACACATGTAAAAACATTGACAAGCCACATACACATATATAGACATTGACAAGCCATAGACACACACATCTACTGACACTGATAAGCTACACACACATGTATTGACACTGATAAGCCACACATACATGTTAAGACATTGACAAGCCACACACACACGTGTACATAAATTGACAAGCCACATAAACATGTACAGCCATTGTTAAGACACAAACACATGTGTAGACATTGATAAACTACATACATGTAAACAAGATGACAAATTCCACACCAAGGCTCTAGTACATGCTCACTGCACTCTGAGGAAAGGCAAAATGGACATATAACCAGATTACGGCTGGTACAATTAGTATTGGAAATCTACGCTGGCTGCTGAAAACGAGGACGCAGCACACATCTCTAGTACATGAAACTAATAATGAACACTGATTTAAAAAACTAAAATAAGGATCAGTTAAAAAAAAAAAAACTTGCACAGGGATAGAACGATACAGAGGATTAGATTGTGAGCCCTATGTGTAGTACAACAGGATGTTCATGCTCCCGTCCTCTTCTTCTTAAAAGTCTGTAAACTTCTGCAGAAATATTTGGTTGTTCAACCACTTCTGGATTTTAGTCTTGTTACAGAAGTGTGCGCATCCATTTATAGATTTGACTTATTTGTATGCGGACTGATGGCTCCTCGCCTCTTAGGCAGATGCGCTCCGACTTTAAAGGAGACATCACTATTTAGTAGCCTCTCATGCTTGTGTGGGGGAAGTGGGTTTATTTTTTGTTTCCCTTAAAAGAAGTCAAGGAACCTACATAAGGAGAGATGACGAAAAAGAACGAACCAATGTACATACAGATCACAACAGATAAATAGGCCGACTGGCAACAGCATGGTGGTGGGTAAACATCTTTATTGTCAAATACCTTTGTGTAGGATTTTAACATGATAACTGGTATCAATTATAACAGTAAAACAAGTCAAGCAAAACTGTACAGCAATATCATCATCATCAATGTCCCATAACACTGCTGCTCATTGAGTTACTACTTGCTGTTGACTCAACAGCCCTCTCCCCCACCCCACCAATGGTTGACAGCAATCAATATACAATAATATAATCTGCAATGCTGTCTTTAGTATGAACTTCACTGGCATTTATTATTTACTCAGCGCCCGTAACGTTTGGCTTCCACCGGTGTTTCTCTTGGCCAGAAGTTATTTTTTGGGTAAATATAAAACTGTCTTTACTGCCTGTACACAACTTTTTAAAGAGCAGTGTAAGGAACCCAGAGGCTGGCATAATGTATAAAAACACTGTTTTCATTTTTATAAGCTGTGACTGATAAAGAAAGGCCCAGGTTTGAATCCTTGGTAAGGTTTTCTCCTGTCTTGGGATAATAATAAAATCCTAAGCTGCACAGTCCATGGCGACTGCACCAGCCATGCATCCTCAGACACAAGGACCCCCCTCCAGACTACACCACAAAAAGTGGTAAATACAGGCAATAACTGGCTGGTTTTTTAGGCAGTAGAGAAGGAAAAGAGGCTCCGAGTCTGAGAAGTTAGGGCCCCATGGCTAGTTAAAAGTTAGCTGCATATCCTTTACAAAACACTGCAGACCCAACCCTGGCATTTTTAGGCTTTTGTGGTTTTTCTAGGCAAATTTTAAATTCAGTAGATTGCACTGTTGTCCGATGGTCAGCTCGAAACCAATGCAAGACAAACTGTCCCCAGCTGAGATCAAACCCGGCACCCTGGCATTACGAAATGAGTTCGCAACACCTAAGTCAAAGACGCTGACAAATGCCTAGTGTAGCCATCAATTGTATAGGTTAAGATTTATTTTTCTGCTCCCAACAGAAAAGAACTTCCATCATCTTACCGAAGAAGGAACTGCCCACCTCACATTGAAACAGCTAAAGGCTGAACTTTTCACACCCAAGCAGCAGAATGTGATATGGGACTACTTTACCAAGGGTTTATAGTGGACCTCCTGAATGAGAGAACCCAGCCTTCTAACTGCTGTAGCAGCACAAAATAATATCACGCCACAGAATGTTTTAATATGCTTCTTCTTCTTCTTGTCACTCAGCATTTAGAGCTCTTGAGGGTCACTGCTGCCGAAATAATCCACCTCCATTAATCTCCAAATTTTCAACTTTTTAAAAATGTCAGATTTTGGTCAAACATGACAGGCCTGTGGAAAAATCTCAACTTTAGAAATGTTTGCTCCCAGATTGCTCCAAAATGTCAAATCAGACATATAGATTACCTACTCTGCATCTAGAGTGTCTATTCACGTATAAAATAATTGTCTGGGACTCAATGTTTAGTGGTAGGACACAAAAATGTTGTTGGAAACATTTCTTTGTAAAATTTGTTTTTCACTCTTGTTTTATCAATTTTTCTGCTACCAGCGAGCTCCAAAGTGTCAAATTTCTCATCTAAATTATCTCTTCAAGTGTGAAATGATAGACTGAGACTAAATTTTCAACTTTTGGAAAATGTCAGATTTTGGCCACACATGACAGGCCTGTGGAAAAATCTCAGTTTTAGAAATGTTTGCCCCGAGATTGCCCCAAAATGTCATATTAGATGTTTAGATTACCTACTCTGCATCTAGTGTGTGTATTCATGTGTAAAATAATTGTCTGGGACTCAATGTTTAGTGGTAGGACACCAAAAAAGTGTTGAGAACATTTCTTGGTGACTCCAAAATATTTGTAGGTCTGTCTGTCTATATATTACCTCTCTTTCATCTTCTTGGTCTGCCTTGTGGTCTACTCCCGTCAACTCTTTTGTATACGTAGTTTTGTCTCTGTTATCTGCTATTCTGTCTATATGCCCCAACCACTGCAACCTATTAGCAATATAAATGTTTCATTTATAACAATGCAAATGAGCAACATCTCACCTCAAACTGATGAAATTAATTAATGAGGGTACAGCAGGATCAGGTAGATAAGTTTTGTTACAACTAAATTAATACCTTCAAGAATAATATATGAAGGTTTTACTAAACGTAACTGACTCGCATATATATCCAATACTGAAATAGAAAAACCTCTATATATCCTAATTATAACCAAGAGAGGCTAAATAGGATACTATCATTGTTTAAACTTCTAATACTATAAGGTTTTATCAAAACAATTTCCATCTCAGTGTTAACGCTTCTGTTTGGTCAGAATCTATGGCTATAGTGTTACCTATGCGCTTTATAATTCTGGGATATCTGGGTTTGATTTACTGCAGGTGATTTGGCAGCACACTGTTTTGCCTTGATTTCAACAAAGGTATGGTAAGGTGACCGTTGAGAAAACAATGGCAAACTACTGAACATATAAACTGTCTAGTAAAACCACAAAACAACCAACAAATGTTGGGGTGATTCTGCAACGTCTTGTAATTTTGCAATGTTTTGTACAGGATACATTTCTAACTATTTTGTATTATTATAAAAGCCCAAGCCACAGTGTTGGTAATCACCTCTGTCCACAGACTCCTAATCATGTTTGTCAGATCGGAAATGGAAAGAGCAGGCTGAACATGAGGCCTCCGCGCATCAATTGGAATAAGAAAAACTTTTAAAAAAAAACAATTAAACAATTCACAAGAACTCTGCTCACTTCCACAAGTATTCACACTTTAAATTAACCTTTTCATACTTCAAAAAACTCATGCAAATGTCTACTCACAAGTTAATCACATTAACTTACGGTATGCAAAAAAACAATTATACACCTGTTCACAAATATTCTGCTTGTTTTCACAAGTTATTCACCGTGAATCACCTTTCTAGCACTCAGAAAACAAACATACACCCATTCACAAGCCATTTACAAGTACTCTGCTCATTTTCAAAAGTTATTTCACTCTAGTTTTTAACACTCAAAAAAAAAAAAAAAAAAAACATACAACCATTCCGCAACACTCAATTACAATTACAATTATTCACATTTTAGTTGGAGGCAGTCACTGCAGTTTTCCGATGGCTTGAGAACCAGCTGCATGACCTTAACAGACTCAGAAAGCATGATGAGAAAGAGTGAGAAAGGCATGCTCCATGCAGAGTGGCAAGCAATACTACAGAGGTCCTGGGTAGTTAGCATTATTTGAATATAGGATATATTGTCCAGGTTACGCAGGAGTGTTGGGAAATGAACAGGCAGACAGATTGGCTGGAGGCATAACAAGCTTGAATGAGAAGTACAAACACATCACAATAGCCTGGAAATAATGGTGGAGCGGAAACATAGCAGGGGATCTGCCCAACACTCAACTCAGAAGAGAGGTAAGACAGACATATAATCAAACTACTACAGGTACCAACAGAATTGGAACTTTATACTGACTGCTAAAGATGGGGACAAAATGCTTGTGGGAATGTCCCAAGTGATGTGATATGAGTTCTTAACTCATCTCAACACATTCACTTCTTCTGCCTTTCTAACCCCCAATGGAGAATAACCCCTCAACCAACTCACAAGTAATTCTATCCTTCGCTATCGCTTGCAGTTTTTTCTATTTTTTTAACTTCACTTTCTAGCTCCCTTCTCAGTGTGTTTTTTGGTCTTCCTTTATTTCTATGCCTCTTTGGGTTCCAACGCAAATATATTCTAGTTATATTCTTATCAGGTTTTCTCAACATGGGTTCAATCCAACACCAGCATATTTTCTTCACCTCTTGGTCCACTAGAACTTGTTTAGTTCTCTCCCAAAGCTCTACATTAGTGATTCTATCATATCATTTAATTTCCTCTACTGCGCAGGCACCAGTTGAAGAATATTTGTCGCTTATTAGTTATTGCTTTAGTTTCTGCTCCATACAACAGCACTGGTTTGACATTTTTTAAAATTTTTTAGTTTAGTTTCAGTTTTAAACATTCACACTTCACATTAACTCTCCTCACACAAACCTGACCTACTACAATCTCAGGAGCGGGCAAAGCTCTTTATCCCAGCCATCACGTTCTGACATCTCAACTGTGTGGCCATGTCAGACATAAAGGAGTTAATGCTGGAATCCTTCTCATTCTTCTTGCACTCAAAGACAACAACCAAGGATATGCGGGAGTCTGCTCTGACTATGAAGTATGAGCTGTGGGGTCTCTGTTCGACAGAAACATAGACAATTATTGGACATCATTCACAGAAGTCTGTTTTACAGATCTAGCTTATCTGCATGCAGATTGCTGGTTCTGTGCCTCTCAGGCATCCCTAAAGTCACATTTTATGACACGTTTGTTAGGAGGGTAGTGGGTTTATTATTTTTCCCCCAAACTGGTGACTAAACTTGTAAGTAAAGTCTATAGCAGTGATTCATAGCATTTTCTTCTTTGTGTGTGTGTGTGTGTGTGTGCGTGCGTGCGTGTGTCTCTCTTTCTCTCTCTCTCTCTCTCTCTCTCTCTCTCTCTCTCTCTCCCCCTCTTTTGAGTAAATTTTAAAAAGGTGGTTGGCATGTTGTGTATTGGTTTACAGCTATATTGCAATATTCACTTTCTTCACGCCAACACATACAGTTTCACCAAACCCTTAATTAGTAGCCTTTTATGACATTTTTGTCAAGGGCCTAAAGTCTAGGGTTTGTATCTGCATTGTGGCATTCATTTTTTTTTAAATTCACAACTGACCATGGCTCTCAGGTCAACCCAGCCTAAAATGGGTACCAGGTAATGTCCTGGGAAGTAAAGCAGGCCAGTGTAATGATAACCGCATCACCCACGGAGTGATATGGGTCACTGAGTCCTGTCTGAAGTGCTCCAGTCGTAAAAAGGGACCTCTGCTTTACAGAGTCTTAACTTTTTTCGGTACCAACCTGTAGTTATTATAACTTTCCGTGTTTTGAGAAACCCCAAGTTAACTCTTTCAGTACCAGCCTGTAGTTACTGTAAGTTTTCCTATTCTGAGAAGCCCCAAGTTACCTCTTTTAGTACCGGTCTGTAGTTACTGTAACTTCTCCTATTCTAAGCTCCAGTTTAACTCTTTGAGTACCAGTCTGTAGTTACTGTAACTCTTCTTACTCTAAAAAGCTCCAGGTTAACTCTTTCAGGACCAGTATGTAGTTACTTAAGTCTTCCTATTCTGAGAAGCTCTAGGTTAACTCTTTCAGTACCAAGCAGGTACTGCTGTAGCCCTTTCAAACCTCACCATTTGTTTCATACAGTATACCCTGTCTGAACGGTTTCAAATAATAACACCGGGTCTAAGATGGAAGTCAATAAAGTAGTTGTCTTTGGACTAACCAAATAAACTCACAGTAAGTTCCATGGTACAAAATTAAAACGAGTAAAGGCATATATTTAGTAAACAGTGCTAGTTATACATCAACACTCAGTAGGGGATGAGCTCAAATTCATGCCATCCACCTTTATTTTCCAAGACACTTCCTCATATCCAGTTTACCTGGGCTTACCCAAGCCCGGGTGAAGCATAAAATAAACTCAAATTGAGGTTCTGAAGCCAGGACCTTCAGGCCAGCAGGCAACTGCTGTCTGTTTATGCAGCTTCATTAATGGAAAGAAACAAGTAATTCTAAAGAGCTTGACTGTAGCTTCCCATTTACCTTGTCTATACTTTATCCAAGAAGAGCTTTACGAAAACTTTCTATCAATAATTTCTGTAGCTTTATCACGGAAGAACCTTTGTACTGTTCTGTCCATATTATAGCATTATCATAAGAACTTGACTCTGTAGGGTTTTACCTATGTTTTCAATAATTTTATCTTAGAAGAACATAGCTTTGTTGTGTTCCACATACTTTTTCTGACTTTATGATAGACGAATGACTCTGTAGTATTCTACTTACCTTTTCTATAACTTTATGATAGAACCTGACTCTTAATTAATTGCCTACCTACCTTTTCTATGACTTTATTACAGAACCTGACTAGTATTCTACCTACCTCTTCTATGGCTTTGATAGAACCTGACTCTGTAGTGCTCTACCTATCCTTCCACTGCTTTATCATAGAAGAACTTGACCATTTAGTGCTCTGCCTTCCTTTCCTATGACTTTTATCATTTTCTATTCACTCTTTCTGTTATTTTCTTAAAGAAGAACGAGACTTTTTTTAGATTCTGCCCACCTTTTCTGTCAATTTAACATAGAAAAAAACATGACTTCATAAGATTCTACCTACCCTTTCTGTCAATTTCTCATAGAAGAACCTGACTTTGTCTGCCTCTGAGTCAGTGTTTATTAACATAACAATGTTTGGCCAATGTAGGACATTGATGACACGTTCCTGAAATTTATGGAAGACACAATTTTAGATGACATGTGCAGGGCTGTGTGAATTAGAAATTAAGTATCGACACAGCAAGACAGGATATTAGAGAGGTAGAGTATGAGATGTGTACAAATGTGTACTACCGCAGAAGTCAAAAGTTAGACATTTGCTGCAGGAGACGGAGCATTTATAGGTATACCCAGTGTGTTGTGATGTCAATTCTGAAATCAGTAATCCTGTGAATGAAAATCAATTATGGCATGGAAGAAGACACAGCATTAGAGAGAAATTTGGACTAAGACCATGTCTGGATTATGCTGACCGACCAATGAAATGATTCAGCCATCTAGTGAGAATGCAGCTAGGCCAAACTACATATGAGAATTTTTACAGCAGAACATCTGGGAGAAAGGCCAGAGGAAGTCCAAGAAAGAGATGAATAAATAGTATACTGAAACCTACCCAAAAAAAAAAAATATGAACAAATGCATCACCCAATCCACTTGAAAGTGCAAGACAAATACAGAAAACCATGACACTGGGCTACAACCTGGTATCAGTGAGACAACAACAGAAAAAGAAGAAGAAGATGGCAAGGACAAGATTCTGGAATATTATGGTAAAGGTAAGCCCACTGATCTCAAAAGTTGAAGATTACATGGTCTCCACTATGATGAAAATGAGATGAGATCCACTCAAGTAACAAACCAAAGAAACTAACCTTCAAAGACCACAAATCATAGAGAAAAGCAGAGGGAGGGGTACAGACAAAAATGGCGAGGGGAAAGGGGTTTTGAAAGTGAAATAAGAAAAAAGAAAGAATTAATGTGAGAGGAGAGAGAAGACATGAATGAGGGAACCCAAGAAGTAAGAGAGATAGTGAAAGAGAAAGAAGTGAGAGAATAAGACTGACAGAGAGAGAGGTGGAAAAAGGAAGAGAGGGAATGATAGTTACAGAGAAGGGAAAGGAGTCAGAGAAGAGAAAGAAGGAAGAGAGGAGGCGATCAAGAGAAAGAAGTGAGAGAATAAGACTTACAGAGAAAGAGAGGTGGGAAAAGGAAAATAGAGAATGATAGTAACAGAGAAGGGAAAGGAGTGAGAGAAGAGAAAGAAGAAAGAGAGTAGGAGATCAAGAGAGAGAGATCAAGAGAGAAAGAGATAAAGAACAAATAAACGAAAAATTGACATCATTGCACTTCAGTAGCCAAAGAAGAGTCGACATGCTAATAGTACCAGTTGCAACCACTCTAAAAGTCCATCCTTGTTTCCCGCTTAGTACTGATATATCTTCTCAAACCTCTACTCACCACCACACAGAGATGAAGAGAGAGAATCTAGTAACGAAGATATCTAAGATGAATTTAGAACCTAAAGCTAATGAAGAGATAATTCTAGTCCAGTTGCACATGAGGATTGAGAGATAGAAAGAGAAAGAGAGACAGAAGAGAGAATCTAGTATCAAAGACACATAAGTAGAATCCAATACAGAGATATTCAACAGCGCAGCTGCTCATATGATGAAAGAGAGAAAGAAAGAGAAAAAGAGAGAGAGAGATGAGAAAGACACAGAGAGACATAGAATCTTGTATCAAAGACACATAAGTAGAATCCAAAAGAGAGCCGATTATTCAACAGCGCAGCTACTCACATGGGGGTAGGAGAAAATAGGCAAATAAGTTTCCATTCCTTTCAGAGGTTCAGCATATTTATCTGGATGATGGTAGCCACCCTCCCGAACATGGCCCGTAAGTCCATGGGCATTCAACACAAGATACACATCTGAGGCATCAGACTTCTTCTGAAAAGCCTGGACTCTAGATAATAAAAGAGAAAGACCTATCAGAATGTTGAATACTAAATGTTGAATTAAGAATCAACATAACAGCACTCAGGACACCCCCATAAGTGCTTCATCCCCATCTTCAGCAGCAAGCGAAGAGTTAAGACTCTGATGGTACCAGAAACTGTCTGTTTGTATATCCGTCTAGCCTTTTCCCTGAGTGTCGACAGTCGGCCAGATTCCCTTGTAAGATCTGTTAGAGAGGGTGCTGATGTGGTCAATAGCATTTCAAACACCTTTACTTCCAGTGACATCCACATAATAGAGTAGCCCCCCCCCCCCCCCCTTTTTTTTTTTCAAGTAAAGGTTTATTTTTAAAATGGGGATATATGGGGAGCAGCTGGCCAAATGGTTGTGAACGATGAGCTCAAATCCTCAGTACAGCGATGGATATTGTTTCTGCTGAAAGCAAAACTAATCATAACCTGTACAGTATGAGGTAACTACGCTAGCCTTAAGGCAGTAAGTCATCTATCTTAGACTGGTCTTTCTTTTTCTCCTTCTTCATTTTCTTCTTCTTCACAGAGCATGGAACTGCATAGCCCTAGCTACAAACCCCTCCACCCCCCCCCCCCCCCAATTGTCATACAGTGTATAAGAAATGGTAAATAACAGGCAGTAAATACATTTTTTTTTCATCAGGCATATTGTCGGGAGCCGCCATGGCCTAGTGGCTAGACACTCGCCTGAGGATCGGAAGGTCGTCGGTTCAGTTCCTGACAGGGCGCACTTTAAAAAAAAACTGACCTTGGCTCTCAGGTTGACCCAGTCTTGAGTGCGTACCAGGTGCAGTCCTGGGAAGTAAAGGCGGCCGACATGATACTGACCACATCACCCACCAAGTAGCGCTTGGTCTAAAAAATACAGGTCTAGCCCTATATACCCAATAAGCCTGAAAAGGTCCTTTACCTTTTTTTATTATTTATCAGGCATATTGTGCTAGACACATATATTTTACCAAGTGGCACTCAATGTGTGATGTGGTCAAGTCAATATCAACCCTGCCATATTTACTCCCCATTATATTTTCTACGATTTAAGCAAGGTCAACCTAAGAGCCAAGATCAATGACTAAATATTTATCTTGATGTGGATTTGAACCCAAAATGTTTGGGCTGGTAGACAAGTGTCTAGCCACTGCACGATGATTTCCATCCATTCATTAAAACAAAACAAAGAACACACACACACTCTCATTCACTCTCTTCATAAGCATACATTCTTACCTCCATTTGTTAACAGCCATGCCTCTGCATTATATACTAAGTAAACAAGAGGATGTAATGTTTGACAAAACTATTTTGATAAACATACTTGCCAACAAAGTCTTCAGGACACTTTGATAGAGCCACCTTCAGCTCTGCTGGAACTGTCTGCTTTGCCAAAGTATCATAGAAATAGAAACCAAACTGAAAATAAAATAACATGCAGCCCAGAAATGAACAGTCAATTATCAAAGGCTTTGAGTATAGTTTGATTTTTGTAGAATTAAGAAAACATAGTATATTAATAAAGAATAGTGTCATGGATCTATTTTTATTATATGAGGGTGTGACAGGTAGAGTGGATAAGTAAGTTCAAGTGTTGTTACCATTGTAAGACAACGATATGTATTAGAGTTGTGTCTGTAACTTTATTGCTGTGATGGTTACACTTCATCAGTGAGAGTGTGATATTCTGGATGTGGCTGTGATGCAGACAGTGTAGTTGCTAGTGCCAGACAGTAACAATAATACCTCACCAATGTTAGAGTTGTCTGTATTTTTAGATCAATGTTTTTAGGGGCTATCTCCGTAGATCTTTTCCATCTTGGTAGTGCACTCCACAGCCTTAGTAGTTACACCTGTGGTGTTCTGAAGCTTTGATGCAAGCATTGGAGTGGGTAACCACAAGGCAAGAGTCGCCGGAGGGGACCATGAACAACCAGAAGACAGAGGATTTGAATTACCCCCAGTGATCCTAAGCCAGGGGGAGGGGGGAGGGGGTCTGGTGGTGAGGCCGTAAGAGTGGGTCCTCCCACATGTATCAGCGAGTACAGGGTCATCGAGAATGACTGCTGGGATTTTAAACTGTTATTATAAAAGAGGTACTTATCGGGGTTTCCTAAATGCTATGATGTCCATTCTCAATTCAACATATAAAAGAAGTATTCTGTTCTTCTTCTTCGTGTTCACTGGCTGTGAACTTCGGCAGAAAGTTCTAGTTGTTCATCCACCCCTGGACTTTAGACTCGTTCCAGAACCTGAGTGTTGTGTGCACATCGTTTTACAGATCCGACTTTGTATGCAGACAGTTGGTTCCTTGCAGTTCAAGCAGATGCACTCCAGCTTTGAAGGTAAACCCCAATCAGCTGACTCTTACGACAAGCTTGTTGGGGAGGCAATGATCTATTCTTCTTTTCCCCACAATAGGGCTCCAGAACCCCCACGGGGAAAAAAGGTATTTAATGGATACACATGTGTGTGCTCCTCGTTCAGAAAATTCTACCCTAGTAGGCTTTAATATGGGCATCATTTATAGTTCTGTTGACGCCCAGAAAGTTATTCAATCTTCTGACAGATCTTCTGAACCATGTCCAGAGCTGCATGTGAAATTACTGCAGCGACACTCTCTATAAGTTACTGGATATTCCTCATCTTTTCAGAGTACACTATGTTTTCAGTGTATTGCCACATGAAAAAAGTATATCAGCGTTAGGTCTGAGCATCAAGGTGGCCACGGTATGCCCCTTCCACCTAGGCATTTGGGAACCTCTCATTTAAGACTGGCACCATTAGTATCGGAACTCTTTGCTGGCTGCTGAAGATGGGGACAGAGCGCTTATGGGAATGCCCCGAGTGCTGTGAATCAAATCAAATCAAATCAAATCATTTAAGACATTGCAAACAACGCAACTGAAGAACGGAGGAGTGAAGGAAAGTATCTCTACTCCCCATTTGCTGTTCCCAAATTCTAAGTTGTGAAAACACGAAAAAAAAGTAGACCAACAACGTGATCATACAACAGTCCACACGAGACGTTCACCTTAGGTGACCTGTTTTATTTATAAAACAAAGGAAACAATTGGTGCCCTAACCCTGTGACCCCAAAAAGCCACAACATTGACACTTCTGGCTGAGCCCAATTCCCAGAAAGAATCACTTTTCCAACCTGGTACAGTGGCCTGTTCACAAGACACCCAGCTAATAGCACTGAAATTGTTTGTGCCTGCACACAAGATGAAAAGGGCCAGGAGTGACATACTTTGAAAAAAAAAAAAAATCACCCATAGATTGGTTTTCTTGTGAAAAATGGCATTATTAAAGAAATTATAATTGTTCCATACGTCACAGTGTTAACCTGTGATCAGCTCACAGGGTCAAAAATGAGTCAATGTAAACATTTAGTTTTAGACAGAGATCTGACCCCGTTTTTTTCTGCTGCATTCGTGTTAACTGATACCTTTCCCTATTCTGTATTGAACTTAATTTTGTTTTGGTCTATAAGTTAAACTGTTATATGTGTTTTTGGTGACCTGTATAAAATGGTGTTTTTTTTTTTTTGGTTTTGTTTTCTAAACATAAATTTCATCAGGAATTCCCTAACTACCGGTCACTGACATAGTTATTTCTAGGTCACCATGGCAACAGAATAAGGGCATAAGGTATGAGACCCAAATTTGTATAGATAAAGCAGAACTTGATGGAGGATGTGGTAAATATGCCCGTCGCCTTAACTTCCCATGACATTTCCCTAAAATCCATCTTTCGTCTGCGTCAACCTGAAAGCCATTAATACAAATTAACCTCAATGGTGAAACAAATCCAAGATCTCTGGACTGGCAAGCTAATAAAACAACAGAAACCAACTTACTTTTGAGAGCAAAAATCCTTTCAGCTTAAACAGCCAGTTGTAAAGTGGAGGCAGTGGACTTATCTTTCCAGTGCTACGACCAAATGCTGTTTTCACCTGTAAAATACACAACAGAAATGTTCAATATTGAGAGGTTAATTAAGAATCAACATCACAGCACTCGGGACACCCCCATAAGTGCTCCGTCCCCATCTTCAGCAGAAATGAAGAGTGAAAATTCCGATGGTACCAGTAACAGTCTGATTGTACATTCTTGCCCCTCTCCCGAGTTTCGAGCGTCGGCCAGATCCCATTGTAGCTCCTCGCAGTGCTATTCTCCTCAGACCGTAATGATCTATCTGTCCCTCGACACTGTTCACACGCTACCAAAGGGCACTCACAACATCCAGCTTGTCGTATATCAGTTCACCACCAAGTGGTGCAGAACCGGCCAGTCTATCCACCTGCTCATTTCCCAACACACTGGCATCACCTGGAGAAAATATCCAAAGGATGCTAACTACCCGGGACCTCTGAAGTGATGCTTGCCACTTTGCATGAAGCATGCCTGTCTCCACCTTTCTCAACATGCTCTGTGAGTCAGTTACAATGACGACATGTATGTACAGCTGATTCTCAAGCCGACGGAAGGCAGCAGTGACTGCCTCCACCTCCATTCTCAAACTAGACGTTGTGATATCAGGCTTTGTTGCGCCAAGCGACGTCCATTCGCCTTTGCTATGAACCCCCATGCACTTCATCTGCCCCTCACCACAGAGCCATCTGTATATACAATCACATCACTTGGGCGGGAATTGTCATGAATCATTTGTTGAACTTCTGATTCTGCAGCACCAGGTGGCCAGTCCCTGCACTCACGTCCCAAAGTGATTAGAACCCAACACAAGTCTGAAACATGATCAGACACTTTGACCCACTCCTCTCCTCGCCTAAATTTATCAAGCCTGGTCACCTGTTGAATTGTGTCTTCAGCTTGCACCCTCCAAGACTTTCCTCTTTTCAATCTGTGACCCTTAGCTCTATCCAGGGCTTCATGCAGGAGGTGCCTCTTGTCCGCAGCTACTCTGAGATATGACTTTGCCTACCGAACTTGGAGCCTATCTGCAATAGTAGGCAGTGCAAGTATATATCGCATACATACTACCGGGGTATCTCTTGAACATCCCAGAATCACCCGCATGGCTTTATTCTGTATGCGTTCAAGTTTCATTAGCTGACTCTTTGATATGGTAAGCATGCCAAGTCCGTAATCTATCACCGACAGGATCACATGCTGGAACATTGTGAACAACATTCTTTGTTTCATGTCCATTGCTGCCATAATCTTGAGAGCACTGAGTCCTTTTTGGCATTTCACTGCAACTGCATCCACATGATCCCTGAAACAAAAATGATACCCAGGTATCTAAGTTTCTTTCTCGTTTGATGTTACTGTTATGAACTGTGAGGTTTGGAACGCCAGCTTTTACAATTCTATTGCCCAGAGAACACCACAAAACAGCTGCCTTCTCTCAGTTGATGACAGCACCATTTTCGACACACCAGTCAGTCACTTTGTCCACAGTTGCTTGTAGCTCGTGAGCTAACCGTCGCCTATCCCTCCCCTGCCTATCTGCAAGAACATCATCGGCAAATGTCAATATTCTTCCAACACTTGATGATTCAAGTTCTGCGATCTTGCTTGTATACACATTAAAGAGCACTGGTGAAATTACAGAACCCTGGGGTAGTCCTGGGGCGATGTTACATTGTTCTAAGGTCCATGTACCCAGGCGAAGAGATACCATACGTGAATGCAGGAAAGCTGCTATCCAGTTCACAAACCACGAACAAACCCCTTTCTCCACGAGTGCAGAAATTAAAATATATCATATTTGTCTCTACTGTAAGCATCCTCAAGATCAAGTGCTGCCACAACTGTATCCTGTCTGTTCTGGAACCCCTCATAAACATCAACAGCAAATGTAGCTGCATTGGACCAGGTGTCTTTCCGAGGCTGGTAACTACCCAAACCTTTTGGCAGGAGCTCTTCCCTTTCCAAAAACTGTTGTATTTTAACAACAATAATCTTCTCTAGCACCTTGCCAAAAGTATTTTGTAGGGTAATAATCCTGGAACCGCTGAGTCTGGAATGATCTTTGCCTGTATTTGGAAGTTGAATTAGGTAACTGTGTACCCATTCCTGTGGTACTGAAGCTGTTCTGATGCTCTGGTTGAAGTAAAAAGCCATCTCCCTCAAGTCTTCATCACTCATGCTCTTCAAAGTCAGAACAGCTGGTGTGCTCCACTGCGAGAGAGATCGGACATCTACAACCCTGGATCACTGATCCTTGTGTCTGATTGTATATCTGTCTCGCCTTTCCCATGAGTGTCGAGCGTGGGCCAGATCCCCTTGTAACTCCACGCAGCGCCATTCTCCTCAGACCGTAATGATCTATCTGTGCCTCTGCACTGTTCACTCGCTCCCAAAGGGCTCTCACAACATCCAGCTTGTCATACATGTTCACCATCAAGTGGTGCAGAACCGGCCAGTCTATCAGCCTGCTCATTTCACACGACAGGAAATATTTAATTAATCAGTCACTCCCCTTTTGGGTTCTGGGTCTCCATTTGAGGAGACAAATGGAACTATCACACCTTAACAAGCACGTCACAAAGGGTGACCAATTTATGGATTGCCCAAATAAGTGTTGGACCAAAAGGTGCAGATATAACAGCCTAGCTGTAAACCACAACACAAAGTGTCTTCTGTCCTTTTATGAGTATATGAAGAAGGAGGAGAAGGAGTAGAAGGAAGATCTGGGGGAAGAGGAGGATGAGGTGGATGTGGAGGTGGATGTAGAGGAGGAGGAATAGGGAGAAGAATTCATATTCATGTTTACTGCCTGTAAACTGCAGTGGGAAGTTCTGGTTGTTCGTACACCTGCAGACTTTAGTCTGGTTCCAGAACCTGAGTATCACATGCACATTAGTTTTACAGATGCGGCTTATTTGTATGCAGACTGTTGGTTGACTGCCTTCCAGGCAGATGCTCTACGATGTTGAAGGATGCCTCCCCCCCCATTTAGTCAACTCCTACGACATGCATTTGGGGGGCAGTGGGTCTACTCTTGTTGCCTCAACAGTGGGGCACCAGAACCCACACAGAACGAAGAAGACGCGATCATTTCCTCCCCAATATCCGCCCACACCCCGTCCCCACTCCGGCCACTCATGCCCTCCCTCCACACTTACACATGCACGCAGGCATGCATGCACACATGTTCAATCCCTATTGCACATCTTCCTATGTACTGGACTTAGGTTTGTGGATAATCATCATCATGTTGTGCCATTATATCTGAAAAAGGATCACAGTCAGTTCCTTCATTCTGTTCCATCCTGTGCAATCATTTTTATAACCTGGATGGAAGTCCGGCACATTTGGCCTCTCTCAGCAACATGCACCTCAGGGTACCTCTTCAAGTCCCTGTTTCCTCGTTCTATTTCTTTCCCATTTCAGTGCCTTTTTGGTGACAGAAACATTGTCTCTTGACAATGAAACATTTAACAATCATGGAGAAAACTGAACCAGTCCAGGCCCAATTACAGCCAGCCTGTAGTTCTGTGGGAGTTGCCGTGGCGTAGCAGCTATATGCTCGCCTGTGGATCGGAAAGTCATGGGTTCCCTCCCTGTCGGAACCTGACTTTTTAAAAAAAATGACCTTGGCTCCCAGGCTAACCTAACCTTGAGAGGGCACCAGGTGCAGTCCTGAGAAGTAAAGGCAGCCAGCAGGATGCTGACCACATCACCCATCAAGTACCAATTGGTCTATAAAAATATAGGTCTAGTCCTATATGCCCAACACACCTAAAGGCGTGGAAAAAGTTCCTTTACTTTTCTTTCTGTAGTCCTATATGCCCAACACACCTAAAGGCGTGGAAAAAGTTCCTTTACTTTTCTTTCTGTAGTGCTGTGTTGAATCTTCACCTCAACCTAATACTGTAGATACAAATACAGCACATTCCAGTGTTTGTAATTAAGACTTAATTGTTGCTGATGATGTTATTACTGTTTGTTAAATAATGAATGAATAGAATAATATCTGTGAGGCCAGAAGGGTGAATGTCAGATGTGACTGAGTGAAGGGGCCTGCTAAAAATACATTCCATTTGCTCATTTTATAAAATGCTTCACTTCACATATAGTGAAAGTAAAGTAAAGATCCCTTTTTACACCTTTAGGCGCATCGGGCATATGAAAAGAGCAACCATATTTTTACAGACCAATGTGGTCAGCATTACGCCGGCCGTCTTCACTTCTCCAGGACATCTATCCTGGTACCCATGTTAGGCTGGGTCGACCTGTGACGCCTCATATCATGATAAAAATCCACGCATTCAGCAGTGGGTTTTGATGGGGGTATGTTGGAATTACGAGTCGGACTCGCAACGCCTAAGCCACGGACGCTGCCTCTCTACACACAAAACATTCCAAAAAACCGGTCTTGCACAGCTTACTGAGTTTCTAGTCAGACAGAGGGGTAGGACAGCGCTGCAACCCAACCCTCATGAAGACGGAGTTTAATTCCATGGCAGAAGAAGGTAGCCAAGGTAGCTTAGTGGCTACATTATGGTCAGCCAGCCTAAAAGTTTAGGATTCAAATCCATATCAAGTCTTTTTTTTTTTAAATAAAATTTTCTAATAACTGAGCTTGGCTCCAATGTTCACTTAGCCTAAATGTTGGTACAGGTAATGTCCTGAGCAGTAAATGTGTCCAATGGCAAGATGCTAACCACATCATTTGCTGAGAACAATTTGTAATTATGAAAATACCTAGTTTGGTTCCACCTGCAGATGATTTGGCAGCAGACTAATCTGCACGGATTTTGACAATGGTATGCACACTCAACAATGGTACATAATAACTTCAGAGGTCCCAGTAGTTAGCATCCTTTAGATATTTTCTCCAGGTGATGATAGTGTGTTGGGAAATGAGCAGGCAGACAGACTGGCTGGCTCTGCACCACTTGGTGGTGAACTAATATACAACAAGTAAGATATTGTAAGGGCCCTTTAGGAGCGAGTGTACAGTGCGGAGGCGCAGACAGATCATTACGGTCTAAGGAGAATGGCACTGCAAGGAGTTACCAGGGAATCTGGCCAACGCTCAACACTCGGGGGAAGATTAAGACTGATATATAATTAGACGGTTACTGGTACCATCGGAATTGGAACTCTTCGCTTGCTGCTGAAGATGGAAACTGAGCACTTATGGGAGTGTCCTGACTGCTGCACAGCAATGGTAGACTACTAAACATAAAAATTGCCGGGTAGAAGTAAACAATAAAAAAAAAATGCTATGGTTGGTTCTGCGATATCCTTCTGTAAAGGAGATGCAACTAACTGACATCTAATAAAGCTGAATCAAGAACTCAAGATTCTAGAAAACTGCAAAACTTGGGTATGGAAACATAAGAGGGTTAAACACCATGACCTACCTCTTTCATGGGGATCATGTCTGACCAGCTGTTCAGTTTGCTGTGTGCATGGTAGAGTTGAACAACACAAGGCAGGTAGCTCCATGTGGACATGAGAACCTGGGCTCTCAGCAGGTGACAAAGAATGTCACACTCAAAACTGGGAACAGAAAAGATATTCTGTATATTCTAACGATAAAAAGGATCCTTTTCCACACCTTTTAGCTGTACTGGGCCCATAGGGCTAGACCAATATTTTATAGACCAATCGGCACTTGGTATGTGATGTGGTCAACATTTTGCCGGCTGCCTTTACTTCCCAGGACTGTAGCTGGTACTCATTGAAGGCTTAGTCAACCTAGGAGCCAAGGTCTTTCCTGAACCCACGACCCTCTGACGAGCAGCTAGCTGCTACACTACAGCGGCTCCTAAAAAAATATAAAAAATAATAACTACTAAATTCACCATGTGGGCTCCATTTTGGAGAACAAATAATAGACCCACTGCATGTCACAGGAGATGACTAATTAGGGGTACTTGCTTCAAAGCCAGAGTGCATCTGCCTGAGAGGCAAGCAACTAACAGTCTGCATGCAAATAAGCCAGATCTGTCAAATGAATGTGCATACACAACTCAAGTTCAAGATCAAAACCAAAGTCCAGAAGCGGACAACAAGAACCTTCCACCAGAGTTTACAGGTGGTGAATCTTAAGAAGAAGAAGAACAATACAACTCGGGGGAGCCGCAGTAGACCATCAGTTAGTCCAAAGGTCTATATTTTTTTAGGTATTATTACGATTGGCTTCCAGGTTGATTAGGCCTAAAATTGGTAACAGGCCCTGAAAAGTAAAGGCGGCTGACATGGTAATGATCATTTCATCCTCTGGGTAGTGATTGGTTTATAACAACACAGGTCTAGAACTATGTGCCTGCGTGCCTAAGGAGTGAAGATGGTCCTTTATGGTTGACTTTTCTTACTAATTCAGAAGAACTGTAATAATGTAGTGGCTAAATGTTTGCAGAGTGAAAGTCCTGAGTTTGAATCTGCATCAAGTTTTTTTTTTATTTTACTTCTGTGCTGTAGGATTCTTGTGTGGTTTGTTGATAAAGATTTTGTTAGTCTTGCTAGTCACACTCGCCATTACCATGGGCGATAGCTGTCATGTATCCCTATTGCCCAATGGACAACTATTGTCTAGAAAGGCAAAAACTTCACCTATATCTCTTGGTTTCTTTACTTTCCTTTTACTGAGCCTCCATGTCATGATTTGTGTTTTTTTCTATTTTTTTTTATCAGCTCGACTGCAATGATACTTATTTCTACACTAGTTAGGCAAACAGTGAGATAGATAGGTAGGTAGACAGTTTGACAAGTAGGCATGTTAGTAGAAAGACAGAAAGGTAGACAGGCATTTTGTCAAGTAGGTATACATTTTCTTCTTCTTTGCGTTCACCAGCTGTAAACTCTGGTGGAAAGTTCTGGTTGTTCGTCCACTTCTGGACTGCAGTCCTGTTCCAGAACCTGAATGTTGCGTGTGCAAGCATTTGACAGATCTGACACATTTGAGTGTAGACTGCTGGTTCCTTGCCTCTCAGGCAGATGCACTCCGACTTTAAAGGGAGCTCCCAATTAGTCGACTCTTACGACATGCTTTTGGGCAGGCAGTGGGTCTATTCTTGTTTTGCCTAAAATACGGGGGAGTAGGTATACAGTTAGATATAGACAGGTAGACATACATTTTGACAGATAAGCATTAGATAGTCAGAGATATGTAGACACTTTAACAAGGAAATATACAGATAGACAGATAGGTTAATAGTTTGACAAGTATTTAGAGCTGCAATGGTGTAGCGGCTAGAGGCTCACCAGCAGGTCCAAAGGTCATAGGTTCAAATCCACCCTGAGCCAGGTTTTCTTAAAAAAATGTCCTTGGGTTCCTAGTTCCCCTCAGTCTAAACTGGGTACCAAGTAAAGTCCTGGGATGTAAACATGACCACTCACCTAATAATGGGCAATTAGCATCCTTTGGATATTTTCTCCAGGTTATACTTTGGATATTTTCTCCAGGTCATACTTTGGATATTTTCTTCAGGTCATACTTTGGATATTTTCTCCAGGTCATACTTTGGATATTTTCTCCAGGTCATACTTTGGATATTTTCTCCAGGTCATACTTTGGATATTTTCTCCAGGTCATACTTTGGAAATTTTCTTCAGGTCATACTTTGGATATTTTCTCCAGGTTATACTTTGGATATTTTCTCCAGGTCATACTTTGGATATTTTCTCCAGGTTATACTTTGGATATTTTCTCCAGGTCATAATTTGGATATTTTCTCCAGGTCATACTTTGGATATTTTCTTCAGGTCATACTTTGGATATTTTCTCCAGGTTATACTTTGGATATTTTCTCCAGGTCATACTTTGGATATTTTCTCCAGGTCATACTTTGGATATTTTCTTCAGATCATACTTTGGATATTTTCTCCAGGTCATACTTTGGATATTTTCTCCAGGTCATACTTTGGATATTTTCTCCAGGTCATACTTTGGATATTTTCTCCAGGTCATACTAGAAAACAAGCAGGCAGACAGACTGGCCTGTTCTGCACCACTTGGTAGTGAACTAATGTATGACAAGCTAGATGTTGTGAGGGCCCTTGGGAGTGAGTGAACAGTGCATGCGGGGGCGAGGGAGTTGGGGGGGGGGGGGGGGGAAATGAATCATTATTGTGTGAGGAGAATGGCCCTGTGGAGAGTTACCAGGAAATCTGGCCAACGCTCAACGAAAAGGTGAGACGGATGTACAATCAGACAGTTACTGGCGCCATCGGAATTGGAATTCTTCGCTTGCTACTGAAGATAGGGATGGAGCACTTATGGGAGTGTCCCGAGTGCTGTGATGTTGATTTTTAATTCAACATTCAACCCAACGAGTGCTAACTGGTCTTTAAAACTGAGATATTGCACTGTATGACCTATACACCAAAGGGTTTCTGATTACATCATCAAAAGGGCAGACTGACATACAGACAGGGAGACAGAAAGTTGACAAGTAGGTATGTGTATACTCAGACGTGTAGATAGTAGGCAGAATGACATACAGACAAGGAGACAGAAAGTTTGACAATATGTACAAATTCAGACAAGGCAATAGGTAGGCAGAATGACATACAAGCTTAGAGCAGAGTCTGACAATTAGGCATGTATATATTCAGAAAAGTAGATAGGTAGACAAAATGGCACCCAGACAGGGAGACAGAGAGTTTGACAAGCAAATATTCACAAACAGATCATTACCATCATGTTGCAGTTCCTTTGCAGAACATCACTCTCATCATGGTCTGCCCGGAAAAAAAAAAAAACTTGGTCTTTTGCCAGCTCTCCTGCTTTGGACATTTTCCTCCCCAATGTTTTATTTATATCCTGTGCCTAACTATGTGCTGGTCAGCCCTGCTCCTCCTGCCTGTGTACAATGCCTTCCCCTATCGTCTTTTCTAAACTGCAGTGGCGGTTGATATCCCCAAAATATGTTTACTAGCCAATCCTACCTAAGGTTAAGATTTTTCAAGATGTTATCAGTATTTTCTTCCTTGTCCACAGTATTTTGAGAATCTTTCTATAGCATTTCAGATCAAAAACCCTTATTATCATCCTTGATGAGTGTCAAATAGTCCACGGCTCAGAGTTGCATGTTGCCACAAAACATGCATGCTCTCAAAATTGTCAGTTTGATTTCCTTGCTATTGACTTTTTAACGCTGTTTAGTCTGTGCATTGCTTTGGCCATTCTTCATCTGACTTCTACAGAACAGTTTATATTGCTGTTTATTATGAAACCTAAATATTCAAAATGTGTGACCTTTTTAATTTCCTCATCAATTATTGTTAGTTTTGGGTGACAGGCACTTTTGTCAGAGGACATTAATTTTGTTTTCTTTAAATTCTAGAATAGGTTTTGATCTTCACTGTGTTTTTGGACAGACATGATTAAATGTTCTATTCCCTTTACACTGTTCCAAAGGTAGTCTGTGATATCTGTATAGCAAAGTTCCAGAATGAGATGAGGTTGCCACCAATTTTAAGCGGATCATAACTGTCACAATTTTAGACATGTGGATAGGTAAGCAGAATGACATACAGACAGGAAGATAGGAAGTCTGACAAGTACATATGTACACATTCAAATGAGTAGACAGGCAGGCAGAATGACATACAGACAGGGAGATAAGAAGTCTGACAAGTACATATTCATATGAGTAGACAGGCAGGCAGAATGACATACAGACATGGAAACAATCTTACATGTCTATATTCTGACAAGTAGATATGTAAGGAGTATGACATTTAGACTGAGAGATGGATATCAATCTACAAACCCTCACCTACACACAGCTCTCAGTGGAGAAACCAGGGGGTGATGAAACTCTCTGATGTACTCATTCTGAATTTCTTCACACACCACAACCAAATCCTCAAAGTTTACTGCCTGTCTGTTGGCTCCCAGACCAGCCAATTGTTCATAGCTTCAGTGTTAAGTTGGAATAGCAAATAACAATGACAGAAATGACAATGATTAGCACTCGAAGATTCTTTCTTCTTCTTCTTTGTGTTCACCAGCTGTACACTCTGGCGTAAAGTTCTGGTTGTTCGTCCACTTCTGGACTGCAGTCATGCTCCAGAACCTGAGTGTTGCATGTGCATCAGTTTTACAGATCTGATTCAATTGAATGCAGACTGCTGGTTCCTTGCCTCTCAGGCAGATGCACTCCGACTTCAAAGGAAGCTCCCCAGTTAGTCGACTCTTACGACATGCTTTTGGGGAGGCAGTGGGTCTATTCTTGTTTTCCCACAATAGGGCCCCGGAACCCACACGGGGGGCACTCGAAGATAATGTAAAGTAGTACAAAAGCAAGGTACAAAGCTATCCACTCTTCTTCTTTTTCTCTTGTCGTCCTTAAAAGGATTGTTGGCACACAGTATTGTGGTTTTCATTAGGCTGTAACATCTGCAACCTTTAGCCCAAGACATCCGACATTAGTAAATTCTTAAAGAATGATCTTTAACAACATGCTTGTTGAGGGTCAATTCTATATCATGCAGATGAGGATCCCCCCCCCCCACCCACCCCAGAAACTCCTTTCAGCCGTTATGGCCACAATTGTGGCCCAGCTATATTAAGGGCCCCTGGCAAAAGCCAGGGTGGGGCTTCAAATAATGAAAAATTGCATCCCACAAGGGGACGACTTGGAGGCATTCACTCTTAAAAGGGCGGTTGGCATGGTGTACTGTGGCTTACAGCTAGGCTGTGATATCTGTACCTTTTGGCTCAACACATTATATTTAAGCAAATCCCTAGTTTTGTTGCTTTTACGACGGTTATTGGAAAGGAGAGGGGGGCGGGGGCGGCAGGATCTATTATCCATCCCCTTCCCTACTCCCACAATCCTAAGAAGATGAAGAAAGAAAGAACAGCAGCAGAAAAATAAGAAAAAACAGCAAAAGCAGTAGCAAAAAAAAAAAAAAAAAAAAAAAGACATGTCCATGCGTAACAAAAATCAAGGATGCAATTTTATTACTGTCATAAATAAACCTATGATATGACCAATCTCCTAGCATCAAAACTGAACCTCTTCACAGGTTGCTGAAGATGAGGACAGAGAGCACATGGGAATGTCCTGATTTCTATTATGTCAGTTCTTGATACACTCAACTTTACATTAATTGATTCTGCAGTTACTAATTAACACAAGAAACATAAGGATACAATTCTATCAATCGGATTCTGGCACGCACAAAGTAGCATAGCTGGCCATTTATATGTGCAAGCAACTGCTCAGACTCTGCATCTATCGATCTGGACAAGCTAGGTGCAAAGGAATTTTCCATCCGCTGAAACTCTTGAAGCAGCATGGAATAAATGGACTTGGCACTCTGCAAACAGTGATAGAGAATGGAGTAAGTGAACATTGCACTGTGTAAACATTAATGATACTGGAGTAAATGAACTTGGTACTTTGCAAATATCAATCAAAAAGACTCAATTTAATGAACACCATATATCAGTGATGAAAACTGTGGTAACTCGATTGTGTATTCTGTAAATATCCATAATAAAGATTGGGTTAAATGGACTTGGCCCTCTGTAAACACATGTGATAAAGATAAGAATAAATGGAAATGGCACTGTGCAAATATCGGTAATAAAGATTGGCACAGATGAACTTAATATTCTGTAAATATCAGTAATAAAAATTTGAAAAAAAAAAGACACAAATAATAGATTGCACAATTTATTGCCTGGCATATTTTGCTGTATCTCGTCAGGTGCATACTACAGTAACAATTATTAAATGAAGCAAATAAGTGAATCCTTTATAAATGAAGTACAATTACAACAACGATCAAACTTATTTTCTTCATTTATGTAATTGTTACTGTAGTATGCACCTGACGAGATACAGCGAAATATGCCAGGCAATAAATTGAGTAATAAAAATGATGAGAAAACAGAAGGAACTGTAAACATCAGTAATAAAGAGGATGAGTAAATGGACAACGCTATAAATATCACTAGTATGGATGTCAAGTAAGTAGGTATGACTGTAAATATCAATTATCAGAGTAAGTATCAAAATATGTCATTACTAAATTACTACTCACAATTGTTGACTTTCAATACAGGTCCCAAATAATGAATCTCCAATCTCTAAGAGTTAAATCGTAGAGTCCACAAATCAAAAGTCACCCTTTCATAAGCTTTCACAAGACAATTTTTAAGAGTAAACTGACGGGAAAATCTTTGTGGTAAAGTGGTCACATCCTTTGCCTAATGCTCTATGGCAGTAGTAGCAGTAATGTAAACAACAATATTCTACTCAACCCATCTGGTCAAAAATGGGATAAATAGGCTTGTAGTTAAATAATGGATATTTATTCTGATTAGTTATGTTTGATTATTCAATAATGCACAGCTTATGTATACATACATCTTTTGTGCGAACAATCTGTGTGAACCGTTTCTGGCTCAGAAAGACAAGGTGACTGTAGTTCTTCTCAGCTGTGGCAAGCTGGGAGAGGCATTGCAGGGTCTCTCCCCAATAAGCAGCATAACTGAACTTGTGGCCATCCTTCTCACTGTCCTATGTACACAAGAAAGTAATCACCTTATGCTACAAAATGTTCAAGATAAACTATTATTTAATCTAGTAATGATAATGTGTCAAGCAATCTCTAACGATTGCTTTATAAAACAGTAGTAGGATTAGCTGGGGTTTCAAATTCACTGCTGGCAGGCCACCTAATTACTGTTCCGTTCCTGTGCCACTGATAAATCACACAAAAAGCTCCTCACTCTCTCATTTAAAAACTGGTTAACAAACAAATAAGTCCCTGAACTTTACTGTTCCTTACTGCCTAGTAAGACTACTGTGCAGCTCTATGGCATAGAAGTTAGTAAGAGTGTTTAACAATGTCACGATCCTCAAGTACTAGATTTCTATGGCAAACAGTTGTTTTCAGAGAGTAGTATTAGAGTTACACTCAAAGAGACTGGGGCCAATCAATTTAATATTATCAAAGACAGCAGAAGATACATTATAGCCAACCTTCATTGTGGAGACAATACACAATTTGTAAATTTATATTTGTGCATGACGATGCGCTCAGTTAAAATTTTACAACTGTGCATGACAAGATCATCTCCACCATTGCCGATCCAAAGCCCTGATAAGAAAGGATGAGGGCTGGGCGTAGGGACAGCCCCCCCCCCCCTCCCCACTATAAAAAATTATTTGCTACATGTATTAACATTACAGATGAAAGCTGCTTTGTGGAAGTCAGTGACCAGACACACACAATACCTGATTAAAAAATAATCACTAGAATAGGTTTTTGGAATGTTAGGACATTCAGTGTGCAGTTAGATCTGGTAATTGGAGACGCTATCTTTGCTCATAAGGAGATTCATAGATTAACCTGGCACTAACTAGAGGGAGTGACTACGAATCATAGACCACCTCTGTATAAACAACAATTGTAACTGACTCAGAAAGCATGCAGAGAAAGGTAAGGACAGGCATGCTTCGTGCAGAGTGGTATGCTTCGCTTTGGAGGTCACGGGTGAGGAGCATTGTCTGGATCTCTTTTCTTTGGGGAAAATCAATGAGATGGGAAATGAACAGGCATACAGAATGGCTGGCTCTGCACAATTTGACAATATTGTTTTGGATCCAGCAAGGAAGAAGATGAGAAGAAACAGAAAAATGTCAAACAAACCTCCACAAAAACAATGCTAAGTATAGAGCACTACCTACCACAAGTTCTTTGGCCTTGTCACAATGGTTCTGGCTCAGAAGTTCAAAGTAGTTGTCGAGAATGGATTCCTCATGTGGGACACCTGGTGAAGACAGCTGTGTGGTGACAGAGTCTTGTGACGACATCTTCTTCGCCTAATGTTAAATTTAAAAACAAAACCCTCAGGTTTGCAAGAATAAAAAAAACATTATATACTGGTATATAACATCAGTTTTACCAACTGGTAGCAAACCACTTTGTGGTCACTTTGACAAATGTATAAGCTTGTTCTATTACAGAAAACAAAGTGGCAAACTCCCTAATTCAAAACAACGCTTTTCTTTAGTGAATTAAAATAATGCAGACACAAATAACATACTGCACAATTTACTGAATGGCATATTTTGTTGTGTGGGGAGCCATTGTGGTCTAATGGCTTAATGCTTGCCTTGCTGTAGACCATTAGGTGCATTAGTTACATTAACATATAATCAAGTACCAACAGTGAATTTTTCCCAACTTTAACACACAAATCAGAGTCTTCTCTAACTACATTGGACACCTCACCAATGGAAATTCAAGACTACTGGCCACACCCTTTTCAAACTTACCACATGCTCTTTTTGTCTGCATAACACAGGATTGTTAGTTTTTTCTTCTTTAATTGTCACTGCTTCTGCCAGTTTCAGTAAATGCCTATTCAGTGTGTGGTAAATAAATGTGTGTGTGTGTGTGTGTTTTCTTATATGCTGATGTAACTCTTAGTAACGCACCTGATGAGATAAATACTGCACAATGGATTGTTTGCTCTGCATTGTTTAACAACCATATAATGTAAAACTGCCTAATAAAATCATGAACATGCAACAAATGCAAACTCAGGAATGGAAATGCATCCTAACTTTAAGAGATGGACTGAAAGAAGCCTGAATGAGGGCATTTTGAAGATCAAGGGTAAGAGATGATGGAGATTCTTGGATCCTGGTTTTAAGAATAAAATTCACAGCACTCCATACAAATTAACAGAAGTTCCGTCTCTCTCAGCAAAAATTATAAGGTGTAAATGCACTAGTAACTCATCACATACGACCTTGTTAGTATCAAACAAAAATCCCAAACTCAAGCATACTGTTTGATATTTCATATTTTTATATAAATAGGAATGAAACGAAGAAAGTTGGGATTTTAAAAAGAGCAAATTTAGCATAAACTCACCAGATCATTTGGTGATGGATCGACTATTGTCCATTTTGCTGGCTTCTCCGAGGATTTGTGACCTACTTTTGACTTCCTCCTGGAACATTTAAATAAACTATCTCAATATCAGGACTATGGTAATGTTAAACCGAGGAGAAGAAATATAAAGTTAACACAGTTTTATAATTAATGCCGGAGAATAAGTCAGTATTATTTTATTATTAAAATATTTAACAAACTCTGAGAATCAGTCAGTATTATTTTCTTATAAAATATTTAACAAACTCTGAAAATCAGTCAGTATTATTTTAATATAAATATTTAAGAAAACTTTTCAAGCCTAGTAAAAATATTTGACGTGCAGCAAAAAGTAATGACTTTAGGACTTTTGTTTTACACCAGTAGTTTTCAACAGGCCAACTGACACTCTGTGGGATCACACTGGCAGCCTTGATTTCCTAGAACATTACCTTGTATCCATTTTAGGCTGTGTCGACCTGGGATCTAACAGCACCTATTGTTACCCCCTATTTTTATAAACCAATATGTACTCAATGTGTGGTAAGGTCAATATCCTGCTAGCTGCCTTCACTTCCCAGAACAATTCCTGGAATTTATTTTATGCAGGGCTAATCTACTAGTCCAGGGTGGGTGGCAGCTTCTCATATGATGCTATATTATAATCAGGTAATCGAGGTTCCAACATCACAGCAAATGGGTCACACCTATGCTGCTCTGTTGATGTGCCAATGAAAACCATGCAGAATGCCCATCACTGCAAATAACTGGTGGTGGATTCTGTAGAGGGTCCAAGGTTCACAACCTGGCACTGCACCTGTCTGGTGAAACATTAAGTTCATCTGACACTGCAATCTATATATATATATATATATATATATATACACACACATACATACGGATGTGAGTCGTGGACTATCTTTCAGTCTTTAAGAAAGAGAATTGGGGCTTTTGAGCTGAAATGCTATAGAAAGATTCTCAGAATATCTTGAACAAAGAAGAGGAGAAATACTGACATCTTGAAAGATCTGAACATCAAGGAAGATTAGCTAATAAACAGCATCCTTTCTCGGAAGCTGAAATATTTTGGTCATATCAAGCGCCACGACGGATTGGAAAAAATTATAGCAGTAGAAATGGTACCAGGAAGGAGGGGCAGGGGCCGACCGACACGTAAATGGGCACAGGATATAAGTGACTCCTTGAGTATGAGTTCATGAGGCGGGAGAACTGGCGAGAGACCAAGTTTCTTTCAGGCAGACTGTTATGAGAGCATCGTTCTGCAAAGGGCCTGCTATATGATAATGATTTTATATATATATATACACACAGCAGGGGTTGTGTAGTACTGTGGTTTTTTTATTCCCCTTCTGGCCTAGTATTTACGACTTCAGGATCTCCTGAGAGGGAGACTGGGCTCATCCCTTCACCTCTACCTCGTTTGTGTCCCATCCAGTTTACCACTAGCTGATACCCCAACCTTTCGCTGGACTGAAGGACAGGGTCCACCACCTGAAGGTGAGGCTTAAGAAAGAGAGGTTAACAGACATTAAGAGTCTTGTACTGTGCACTGCTGGACGACAGCTGCATCCATGATACTGAACTGATTGCACAGGGCAGAATGGAATGGAGGAATAGACTGTGAGCCCTATTGGACATATAATGACACAACACAAAAATGAATGAATGAATATATTTCTTCAGGAGCAACAAAAGAATAGTGGCTAGACTCCCACCTGCGAACCACCAGTTCAAATCCATGTGGGGGCAGATTTTTTTTTCACAGATTGGCTTTGGCTCCCAGTTTGACCAAAACTAAACTGGATACTATAAAATGTCTTGGGAAATAATGGTAGCAAGTATGATGTTCACATTATCACCCATCGCACGATGATTGGTCTGTAAAATTTGGGTCCAACACCACATGGCCAGTGTGTCAATGGTGGGAAAAAATGATCCTGTACTTGACTTTTTATAAAAGATATAATATATTCTTAGTTATCAAATTAATTAATTATTCAAAACTCACAGTTATCAACATAATACCAAATAATAAACAGAAAACAAAGAAAATAAAAGTAAAAGAATAAAGAATTCATTTAACTCATATGAATTTCACATTAATTTATAGAATGGCAACATTCAATAATAACATACATCAGTGAACAATTTTAAATGAAAGAAAAGCAACTGTGGAGTTCAGCAGAGGTGAATACGAACAGCAGTAGCAGAAATAATTATTTAACTCTGATAATGAAATGACTCCCAAAGAGTGTTGGCAAAGACTGGACAAGCTATCATATTCTTCTAACGGTTTATTCTAGTTATTTTTAGCTAAAATTATTTGAATAATAGATTTTATTTAGAAATTATAACAATTATTTCTGTCAATATAGCTAAACTGCAATGGTCAGAGTCAGAGGAAGCAAAAGAGAAGATGCTGGAAAGTTTGGTATCATGGCATGTAGGATCATGTTTTACAAATGAATGAAGGTAGATGAGACAGAAGCTGTGGAAGGACATGATTACCAACGCCATACATCATAGACTATAGGAAGATGCCGTGTTCAACTGGTATTTTAACCTTTTCGGTCCAGGAACACTTAAAAAAATAGGGTCACATCTCCAGTGAATTCAAGAAAAAATCCTTTGCTTTACACAGGTCAATAGTAAAGATCCCTTTTCACGCCTTTAGGCGCATCGGACATATGGGAAGAGCACCCATATTTTTACAGACCAATCGGCACTCGGTGGGTAACGTGGTCAGCATTACGCTGGCCATCTTTACTTCCCCAGGACAGCCATCCTGGTACCAATTTGAGGCTGGGTCGACCTATGACGTCCCATACCACAATAAAAATCCACGCAGCCCGCAGTGGATTTCAATCCCGGTACGTTGGATTACGAGTCGGACTCGCAACGGCTTAGCCATGGATGCCGCACACAGGTCAATAATTTGTAACAAATGTATGTACCTACTTTTCCCTCTAAAATATATAAAGATATGGGAAGGGAATAATCAATAAATATGAGAAAGGTGAAGCATTAAATGGAATAAACTACCCTGGACCTTTAAAAAAACATATCTATCAGGTGACTCATACCAAGACCCTATGACCTCTATCATTGAGGCTTAAGGAAAATTTGACGCAACTCAGCTTTTAAAAAAAAAAGCTATCTGGCTCAAAAGACACCTGCCCCCAATGCTACTTTGTTAATATCTTCATATCTTGACCTTAAAATTTGGGCAGACATGAACTCAGCCAACAGCATTACCTACACATCTTGTGACCGGGTCACTACCGACAAGTCAGAAAAGTGACATTTATGGGGAACTAGACTCAACAGGAAGTGTCTGTTTTGCGGCTTCTCAGGGTGAGAGGAATGCTCGAAACAAAAGAAATTGAATAAAGGAACTTGAAGATATATCACAGCAGATAATGATGTTGGCAACTTTCCATCTTTTCAGACAATAGTATTATACTATGCTAGATGGAGGCATGGGAGCCCCAACCCAAGGGCAGTAGTGTAGAGAAAATGTGTTGCCCTGCAGCAATCCTCTTTGGGTCTGCCTTGTTTACTCTACAAGGAAAGGTGATACCAATACCTTTGAAACAAATACTGTAAATGCTGTTGGATGACAGGAGCAGTGCACTGTTCTGCATTTTGGAAACCTGCAGCCAACCAAAGCTATTGTATTAATATTTGGTTTTCAGGCTGCATTTCCTTTTCCTAACAGCAGATACTATAATGTATGAAAAACGCGCTGTTCATACAGTTAATTAACGATGACTCCCGCCCAGGCGCTGTGATTATCTGTACAGAAAGCTCTATGTTGCGAGAAAGAAGTGAGTGGGGGTTCATTGCAAAATTAAATGGACGACGCTTACTCCAAGAAAGTCTAGCGTGTGATACTACAGCTAGTTTGAGA